ATGGAGTGCACGTGTCTTAAAACAAAAAAAAAAAAAAAAAAAAAAACGAAAAAAAAAAAGAAAATGAGCCTTCATGCAATTTTAGCTAATACTCACCAGTAGTAAGCAGCAGGAAATGAAGAAGTAGATGAGATCCCACAATAAAGCGGAGAGCCAGTAAGTAAATACATAGACCCCACTCACAAACTGGATGTGCTTTGCCTTATTGATTCGCTCAGTTATTGTCTGGAGACCAAAGCTACCAGACACTATAGCCATGCCAAAAGACAGACATATTACTATCTGAAATCCATTCACAAGCCTACAGAAGATAAAATAAAGAAGAAAATGTTTATTTCAGTAGATGTTCTCAAATGTATGTGGCTAGAGAACCAGCAGTTAGCGTAATGGCTATGTCGCTGGACTCCCACGTAGTCGACCACGGTTCGCGTCCCGGACCCGGTGGCTTAAAACTCATGCCGGGTGCGTGTGCGTGCGTGCCCAAGATCCTGAGAGGAGAATGGAGGAGAAGGGATTGTGGCGTGACCATCCCCTCTGGGGGGTGATTTCTCGCTTTCTGTCTCTATGTCTCTCTCTCTGTCTGTCTGGCGAGCGCACGCGCCCTATAGCGAAAAAAACCTCTCAAAAAAAAATGTATGTGGCTACACACAGACACACACACACACACATATATGTAATATTATTATCTGGGTAATAATATATGCAGCAAAAAGATATATTAAGGCTCAATTCCAAAAAAAAGGAAAATCATACGTACACTACATTAGAACCATAAAGAGGGAGAGGTTGAGGCTTGTTGGAGACTTTAATGGAAGCGCTGGGGCCAGAAAGTGACATAAAAAGTATGTTGTCTAACACTGCCAGGGATGTCGCAGATGAATGATATGCCTCATTACTGAAAAGTATAGTCATTATTGTCTTGTCTTTCTCAACCTCAATGGAAAATGCAATAATGCAGAAATCATAACACTCTTTACTTTCCAATATGTAGTTTGTTATATTACCTAGAACAAAAAAAAAGTGGTTAATGAGCTAATATATATCACCTACCACTTATGCTGGAAAGAAAGGATCTATCTATCTATCTATCTCTATCTACCTCTGCCATGTCTACCTACCTACCTACCTATCAATCAATCAATCTATCTATCATCTATCTATACTTTTTTGCCATTTATCATTTTCCTTTATAACTTCCTACAGTGGTTATTTCAAATCTTTACCTTCTCCTCAAAAATTCCACCCTATTGCTAATCCCTACAAAAACTTCATTATCATATACAAACTGAAAAAAAACAGTAAGTTAAGAATGTACTGCCCTTTTCTTGCCTAAAACAAACCTGACTTGTTCTTTTTCAAAAATTGTTTTGGCTACTCTAGGTAATTCGCATTTCTATGGAAATTTTAGGATCAGCTTGTCAATTTTTATTTTAAAAATGCCTGCTAGTATTTTGATAGGGATCACACTAAACCTATAACTAAACATGGAAAGAAATGGTATCTTAAAAATATTGAATCTTGATACCAGCAGATGGTGTAATGGTTACGTTGGTGGACTCCCATGTAGTTGACCATGGTTTGAGTCCTGGACCCAGCGGCTTAAAAAACTCATACCAGGCATATGTGTGTGTGCGCCCAAAATCCTGAGAGGAGAATAGAGAAGGGATTGCAGCATGGTCTTCCCCACCCCCTGGAAGAGCACACCCACCCTATAGCAAAATATCTTCCTCCAAAAAAAAATTGAATCTTGGGGTCAGTGGGTGGTTTGGTGGTTAGGGTGCTTAGACTCCCACATGGTCAACTGTGGTTTGGGTCCCAGATCTGGTGACTTTCTTTCTCTCTGGTGGGCATGTGTGTCCTATAGTAAATTAAATAATAATAAATAAAATTTTAAAAATTAGTCTTTCAATCAATAACATGGAATGTGTCTTCATGTATCTAGAATTTCTTTAATTTCCCTCAACAATATTTTCCAATTTTCAGTGTACAAGTCTTGCACTTCTTTTCAAAATTCCTAATTATTTTATTCTTTTTCATGTAATTGTGAGTTTTGATGATTTATGTTGTTTTTCCTTCAGGAAAGTGTCCATTAAATTTAAGTAGAGTTTTTCTTTTTTTAAAAAAAATTAAAAATAAAATCTAAAAACTTCTGACTGAATAACGGGCTTTTTACTCTATTTCCATATTCATCTTTACATTTATATATTAACGTATATGCTGAGATTTATAGCTGCCATTTTGGTATATGTGTCTTGGCTGTCCTTTTTGTTTCTGTTTCTCCCCTTTTGCCATTTTGTGTCACATGCATATTTTATACTGTACTATTTTTCTTTTAGTACTTTGTATTATGTTATTATTTTCTTACAATCATGGTTTTTGATAAATGTTAACTATTAATCTTATTGATGACTTCCATGTAATGTTGTTTTTCTCTTCTACTTTCAAGATTTTCTCTTCTTGACTTTCCAGTGTGATTCTGATGTGTCTCTGTGTGACTATCTTTGATTTCTATCCCACTTAGAGTTCATTAAATGCTTTTTGGATTTGAAAACTGATGTTTTTCCATCAAATTTGGGAAATTTATAACCATTATTTCTTCAAACATTTTTCTGCCTCTTTACCATTCTCCTCTGCTTCTGGCTCTATTTTGCATGTTTGTATACTTGATGTGCCATGTCTCAGAGAACTCTTTTTTTTTTTTTTTTAACTCACTTTTCTTCTTTTTGTCTCATATGGGATAATCTCAACTGACCTACATTACATTTATTTAATTCATTCTTCTGTTAATTCATATCTGTTTTTTAGTCCTTCTTGGTTAACTTTTCACTTATAGTTTCAACTACAAAATTTCCATTTTCTAAAAAGTAATTTCTATTCCTAATATTCTCTTTCATGCTTTCTTTTAATCTTTTAAACATATGTACTTTAGTTCTTTGAAAAAATCTGTAATAGCTTATTTAAAGTCTTTGTTTACTAAGTCCAACATCTGGTCCCCCCTCAGGGACATATTCTACTGATCATAGGTCATACTGTTCTACTATTTTCACACTAGCTTGTGAGGGCTGCCTTAAGAAAGTACAAAGATTTGGAGGCTTAAGCAACAGAAATTTATCTTCTCATAGTTCTGGAGGCTAAAAGTCTGAGATTAAGGTGTCAGCAGAGTTGATTTCTTCTGAAGCCTCTCTTGGCTTTTCTTTTTTTTTTTAAAGATTGACTTATTTAATTCCACTTGTTATTATTTTTTAAATTTGACTAGAGAAAGAGAGAGAAAGAGAGAAAGCAAGCCGCAGGTCTGGGACTCCAACTGGGGTCTGCCACGTGGGAATCCAGTGCTTCTAACCACCACACCATCTACTGGCCCCTCTCCTTGGCTTTTAGATAGCACCTTCTCCTTGTGTTTTCACATAACCTGTCTATATATGCTTGTCTAGGTCCTAATTTTCTTTTTTTATAAAGACAACATTTGTACTGGATTAGGGTATACACTAAATATCTCATTTTTTTAACTTAATTATCTTTTCAAAGGATCTTTTCCCTCCCAAAATAGTCACATTCTGAGATACTGGCATACTAGCTTGGGGCAGAGGACAGAATTTAGCCCTTAACTCTTTCTTCTCTTTCTGTTGTAGAAAACTGGATATTTATGATCAATATGATAACAATTCTGGTGTATTAATTTCCTTGCCCTTCACTTTATTATTACTGTTTTATTTTTATTGTTGTGGTTCATTAATTTAGTGAATCTAAATAGCCAGTATAGGAGCCAGCAGGTGGCATGGTGGTTAAAAGCGCTGGACTCCCACATGGCCGACTGTAGTTCAAGTCTCGGACCTGGTGGCTTGCTTTCTCACTTCCTCTTTCTCTCTCTCTCTCTGTCTCTCTCTGATCAAACTGAAAAAAATAATGATAATAATAATAAATAAAGTTAAATAAAATAATTCTTAAAAAAAGAAGCTAATGAAATTAAAATAAAAATGTATTAAAAAAAAAAAAGAATAGCCAGTATAATAAAGGGACCAGCAGTTAGTGTAATGGCTATGTCGCTGGACTCCCACATACTCGACCGCGGTTCGTGTCCCAGACCCGGTGGCTTAAAACTCACGCCGGGCGCGTGTACGTGTGTGCCCAAGATCCTGAGAGGAGAATGGAGGAGAAGGGATTGCGGCGTGGCCATCTCCCCTGGGGGGTGATTTCTCGCTTTCTGTCTCTGTCTATCTGGCAAGCGCACGTGCCCTACAGCAAAAAAAAAAAGAATAGCCAGTATAATAAAAAACAGTTTTCAGGTCTTGAAACCAATGGTCTACCTTTAATATTCATATTCTGGTTTGAAAATTCTATGCTACATTTCACACTAATATTGTATTTTTGCTCTTTTGCTCATCTTCTGAAAAGGTAATGCTATTAGCTGAAAGACCATTTATATCTAAAACATCTCCATTAATTATTAAATGGGCATCTAAATACCACAATTAAGCCCCCTCATTGCAGGTGACATAAATAGATCTTCATATAAGAGCAGTTTCTTTTTTTTTTCTATGGGTCTTACCTTGCACTTTCCGTAGTTCTTGATTTTTAGGCTTTAGAAAAATCTCAAGGTTCTTTATGAGATTCAGAGTTAAATCAGAATTCCCTGAAACTGAGTAAGGTACAATGGTTTGACCATACTGACTCAAATCCATTTCCCTGGCAGGTAAAATATTACTATCTCTTAAGTTCAGAGCTATTAAAAGATACGAAGTGAGAAACAAAATGACTACTATCTGTAGCAATATCATCTTCCAGTTGCGCAAACTAAATAGTGCTCTTTTCAGAAACATGGAATAAAACTGCTGGAAGTGAAGCGGAAGCTAAAGAGAGGAGAGAAACATAGCATTAGAATGGTTAGTGATCCAAATAGGATATTCATGTTTAGACCCATTAATATAAATGCTTCAAAATCAATGATAGATGACCTATACACAATACTAATGTATGTTTTGAATTAAAGCTAAAAAAACAGAACATGGTTTACTTCTGTAAGGTATTAAGTGACAGGATCAAGAACTGGTTTCTCATCTAACTATAGCAAATATCAACAGTATGATTTTTGTTGTTGAAATATTGTATTTATAATCAGAAAATCAAAATTTGCGTCTTTTTATTTAATATCAAACCATAATCTTCTTATTGTCTCCATCTTATAAGAGAAATACCTGCCATAAAACTATTATCTTTGGCCTGGTTATAATACACAACTCTGGTTCATAGTGAGAAACTGTCTTGAATTTGATCAACCAATATCTTCTGAATATAATAGTCATAATTCTTGAGTCTTGTCAGAACTAAGCAAAGGAAAAGTTTATAATAAGAACTTTGTGAAGTGATCCTGAGAAATTACAATAGAAAAAGTATCAGCTGTGATCCTTATTTAGAACTCATTTCTCTCACATCTGGAAATTAATGGGGTTATATAGAACATACTGGTCCGTACCTGGCTTATTTATTCAAAGTTTATTTATTTCTTCCATGAATTAGGGAGACTGAGAGAAAAAATATAGTGAGAGCATCCCCAACAGGGTCCCAATGTTATGATCCATCCCAAGGCTCAGCCAGCCATGGATCATGGGCATGTGTATATCTCAAATATTCAGGAAAGTCTCCAGGTGTGAACTTGGAAACTTCCTAGGTGAGTCAGCTTCACAGAGTATCACATTTCCTGCTATATCACCATCTAGCCCCTCAAAATATCTTTTAGTTCAGATATTAAACAAGAACATTTTATACCCAAACCAAACATAGGAGTTTCACATACTTAGTGAATATGCTTACCCCAGTATTATATTTAATGGTAGCAAGTTCCTTCAAGCTGGAAGAGAATGGTCTCTCACAACTGCTGGACACACTCATATTCTGTTCCTCGTCTTGTTTTATGTTATGGATCTGGGAGAACTGGACATTCCTTTGGGAATCTGCAAGCTTATTGACCCTAGATAAACACAAATACATAAAAAGGAACAAAATATTCTGTTTTAACCATAGCCTCAATCTATCTCATTTGAGAAAGAGCAAAAAATGTTTCCAAGTATGACAGACTTGTCAGTCTTTCTCACTGTTGGACATGAACACTGCACAGAGGCAGCATGAGGTGAGCTCTGATTCAAATCCAATAGCAATGATGCCTTGGGAATTAAGTTTGTTTTTTTGTTTTTGTTTTTGAGAGGTTTTTGCTATAGGGCGTGTGCACTCACCAGAAAGACAGAGAGAGACAAAGAGACAGAATGCAAGATATCACCCCCAGAGGCGATAGCCATGCCACAATCCTTCTCCTCCACTCTCCTCTTGGGATCTTGGGGATGCACGCACACATGCCTGGCATGAATTTTAAGCCACTGGGTCCGGGACTCAAACTGAAGTTGACTATGTGGGAGTCTAGCCATGTAACCATTATGCCATCCACTGGTCCCCACACACATACTCTTAAAAGTGGTGTTTGGCTATTTTGTCTAACATCTTAATGAGGCTGAAGTGGTCGCTAATGCTCTCTGACCTTCACAATACCACCCAAGAATGACAAAAATAAAAACACCAATAAGTCAGTCAAGAAGGGTAACAATCCAGTGAACAAATATGGGGGCAAGGCCAAAATGCAGTGATCCAAAGGCAAAGTTTAGGACAAGATCAATTACTCAGTCTTGCTTGACAAAGCTACATACAACAAACTCTGTAAGGAAGTTCCCATCTATTGTACAGGCTTATAACCCCAGCTATGGCTGAAGATTCCTGGTTCCTTGACCAATGCAGCACTTAGGAGCTCCTCAATAAAGGACTTATCAAACTAGTTCCAAAGCACAGAATTCAAGTAATTTACATCAGAAATTCCAGCTGCTGGTGAAGATGCATGAACATGTACAAACTGTACACTTGGAAAAATAAAACTTTATTAAATTAAATAAAAGTGACATTTGAATTGTATTTAGCCTGTTTCTATATAATTGATGATATATATTAACAATATAATAATTATAATTAATGATATAACTGTATTTAGACTGTTTACATACAATGTAATTAATGATATATATATATATACACACATAAAGTCATTAATGACTAATGATATATTTATACATGATATAATTAATGATATATTTATATTTAGCAAATTACTATTTATTTTTTACTTATGTTTTTACAGTTGTTTTTTAAACTTTCATCTGGAATCTTCAAATATTATTATTAAAATTTTTCTTTTATATTAGCTGTGAGTTATAGACTTGAGTGGTTATCCTAGAGATTAAAACATGTATTCCACAGACCCAAAAAGCTAGACAGGGCAGGCACATCCCAGGTCCTTTCAGAAGCCATCCATATCTGAGTTGTGCCCTATTCCTTTCAGGGATTAGGGCAACTGAAGACTTTCTGCTCCAACCTCACATTTCAGACCCCAAAAGCTAGACAGAACAGGCAAATCAGGTGCTTTCAGAAGCCATCCATATCTGAGCTGTGTTCTGCCCCTTTCAGAGATTAGGGCAATGCAGACTTTCTGTTCCAAGTTCAAAACAGTAGAGGATAAAAATTGGCACATAAGTACCTCACAGTAAAGGGAAGCACATGAGCTTACAGTTTTAGAAAACCTCTCCAACAAATTAGCCAGAGGTGAATATACCACCAAATGACTAAAAATCAGAGAAGAGAAACTACAGAGTGAACAGCAGGGAGAGGGACAGAGCAGTAGAGAGAATGCAGTTTATCTCCCTCACACCTCTGAACTCTCCGTTGAAACCCTGCAGCTCAGCTCAGGTACACCTGTCCTCTAGAAAAATAAGGTCTTTGTAAAATCCAGTTCCAATGACAAAAGCACAGGTTGCTTGATGAGCATCAGGGAAACAGAGCTGGACAGAGAAGTGGATCACCTCCTCCTGCATGCCTCTGAATGCTCAGAATTAACTCCAAGAAATTAGGAAGAAACATAATCCATCAGATGACCAGAAACCACCATAAAGGCACAAGAAATGTGAGAAACTAAGAAAATATCTCTCACCCAAGGGAAAAGAACAACACCTCATTATCCACTGACAGTACAATGGAACTTGTGGAAATGTCAGATAAAGAATTCAGAATATTCATAATGAAAAAACTAATTGCAATGCAAGAGAAGAGAGACAATGAACTCGAAGATGCAAGAGAAAAGACTCAACGGGTTCCAGGAGATGAGAAAGTCCTATAACTTGAAAGAAGAAATAAAAAAGAAACAAATGGAACTGTTAGAGATGACAGCTGTAATATAGGAAATCAACCCCCCCCAAAAAAAAGTATTACAAGCAGATTAGATTATGCAGAAGATTGAATCTCAGATGTAGAAGACAAAACTTCTAACCTAGAAAAAAATCACCAAAAGATTGAGAAAAGAATCCCCTAAAATGAGAACAATATATGAGAAGTACTAGATACCATTAAATGCCCAAATATCTGGATAATTGGTATCACAGAAGGTGAAGAAACTAATAAAGGCATTGATAATCTATTCCATCAAATACTGGAAGCAAACTTTCCAAACCTAGAAAGGCATGCAAATATATAGACTCAAGAAATACAAAGGACCCCAAATAGAATAAACCCAAGAAGATCTTCTCCAGGGCACATCATAGCCAGAGGTCCAAAACCACAGATAAAGACAAGATACTAAAATTGGGAAGAGGGAATCATCAAGTTACATATAAAAGGTATCCCGTCAGGTTCACATTGGACTTCTCATTGGAAACAATGCAAGCAAGAAAAGAATGGGAAAATATATTCAAAGTGTTAAATAAAAAACGATTATAACCAAGAATACTATATCTGGCAAGATTATCCTTCATATGAGAAGAAAAAGATAACAACAGTCTCAGATAAACAAAACCTGAAATAATTTACCAACACCAGAGCAGCTCTCTAAGAAGTTCTGAAGGGAGTGCTATACCAGGAAAACTAAAGACAAACACACAGAAATAAGAGAACAAAAAACAAAGAAGAAAATGGCCAACTTAATGGCAGGGAGAAGTCCAGAAATATTAATTAATGTTGAATGTTAACCTCCAGGATTTAAATGGAAAGATGGGACCACAATAATACTTCAAATTCAACAGAAGAGAGATTAATTACATGAGAATGAATGGGTAAAATAGAATTTTATGACTCATGACTAAAACATTACTGATTTTCTTCTATGCTTTGTTTTCCAGATTTAAGAATTTTTGTTTTCTTCTGAACTGTTGATAGTTCAGCAATTTTTAAAAAAATTGAAACATAAACTTTTTTCCTTTCCTGATCCCTCTGGAATTGGTAAATATTTGTGAGTATTCTTATTTTGTGGCAGGGTGGGTATTTGTGTTAGTTTAATAATATCTGTTGTCTTTCTTTCATTAGAAATTGGAAATACTGGTTATTGCCAGGGCTTTGACTAGAATGTCATATCTGAAGATATGACCAGAAAGTTAAGGAACTAAGGTAAATCTCAAGAAAGCCAACAGAAAGTCTCAGAAAGTTTGCCTGGTACCATAAACAGTTCTGTCTGTCAGGTAATTAAAGAATGTCACTTCCTGACAGGCCCCCAAAACTTTCAAGTACAGGTACTTAAAGGCACAGATGGTGAATTCCTGACGTGATTCAGTAGCCTTGGAAGGTTTTTTTAAAGAGTCTAATCTGGGGACTAGCAGATTACATAATAGTTATGTCACTGGACTCCCTTGTAGTCAACCACAGTTCCAATACTAGACCCAGAAGCTTAAAACTCATGCCTGGTGCATGTTGGTGTGTGCCCAAGATCCCAAGATGAAAGCGGAGAAGAAAGGATTGCAGCATGGCCACCCCCACCCCCCAACGCAGGGGGTGAGTTCTCTGTTTCTCTGGCAAGGGTAAAAAAAAAAAAAAAAATCGTCTAACCTGAAGTTCTTTATAAAAGATTCCAGCAAAGCCAACTAAATCAATTAGCATTCTCATGAGGCTTTGTGCAAATAACAGACCAAATTGAGACTAAACTTAATTTTTTGCAAATAAGTTAGTTTATGCCTCTTTTTGGTAAAAGAAGGAATGGAATGAGGGAAAAATTATGTTTCAGTAGAAAATTACACCGTACTTGTTACTAGATTTTAGCTTTGTCCGTATCTGTTTCTTTAGTTTTTAGTGTTTACCTACTGTTTGAACAGAATCTTAACTTTTTTTTCCTGGTTTTAAGTCTTAAGTAAATTTTTCTTACCATTTTAAAATTTTGATTTATTAAAGCTAAAATTGCTTTTCTTGAGATTAAAAAAATACATAAAAGAGGAGAGGATACAGAATTATAATAGTATGTAAAAGGATAAAACAAATTAACTGTTAGAGATTTTTTTAATGGCTTTAAGATCTTAAACTAAATGCAGATCTTTCTGAATGTCATTAGAAAGTCAACCTAAGTTCAAATTTGTGATAATTCAAAATATTTTTAAAAAAACATCATATAGTATATGTTTAATATTTTTGTTTATTATATTGTTAAGTAATCCAGATCTACTAAAATTTTCATATGTAATTTAGTATTTTTAGATTTATTAGTTGATTTCTATCTTGGCATAATATGTTGTAATGGTTATCTTTATATATCAACTTGTCTGGGCTAGTGGCTGCCCAGAAATCTAGTAAACATTGAGTTTGTTTGTAAGGATGCTTCCAGAAGAGAATAGCATTTGAATCTGTGAACTGAGTAAAGAACCTGGCTATCACCAAAGTGAGTGAATACTATCCAACCTGTTGAGGAAAACAAAATAAGATTAAAAAAGAAAAGGAAGAAAAGGAGCAAAAATTATACAAAACAAAAAGATAGAGGAAGGAAAAATTTGCTCATTTTTGTTGAGACAGCCCTTTCTCTTGCCCTCAGACATTGGCATTACTAGTTTGTGGACCTGCAGACTTGAATGAGAACTTACACAGTCAGCTCAACAAACCCTGTAGGTTCTCAGAGCTTCGGACTTG